AACAGAAATTACCTCAGAGCATCTTTTTGCTCTTATAGTAAGAAAACAGGAGTTTTAAGGCAGTGGGGGTCAAGACTGGATGTAAAATAGATATAATTTAAATATCTACTCTCTAAATTTCCCCTCTGCATCTGCCATGTTATCTCCCCAGCTGTGCCCATTAAATTTCATTGCAGAAGGTGGACCAAGAGTATTTTAGGCCACCCTGAAATTTTAGCTTGTAACCCAGTCTTTGAAAATCCTTCCTACCTTAGACATTATCTCATAATATTTTATTTCAGGCTGAAAGTAATAAGCCATTTGCTTGTCAGCACACTGAACACATGATTTGGAGGCCACTGAGCAGGCTGACATATGAAATTATTAAATGTACAAATTGAAAAAATGTACAAATTGAAACCAACACAAAAATCAACACTGCAATCCTTGTGGTGCATAAATTGACTGTGCAAAAGGAAGTCAAGTCAACAGGAATTGGATAGATAAATCCTAAAATGCCTGGAATTTTTTGGGACAGGTAGTCATGCTTTTTTCCCTGTTACATAACAGGGTCAAACTACTATTGGAGGTCTTGTGAATAAAGTCCTGTTTGGGTTGAAATTACTAAGAGTAATGTGAAAAAAAATTACTAAGAGTAAACTGAAATTTCTAGAGTTCTAAAACTCTTCCCTTCTCCTGTTTAATCTTCCCTTCTCCTGTTTAAACCACCATCTCTCCTGTTCTCATTTATGGCCTGAAGTGCAGAAGCATGAAGTGCTTCCACGAAAGACACAGATTTTCCAAAAGCTGTAATGGTCTAAGAGGTACCAATTCCTTCTGAATTTCTGCTTTTTCTGCTGAAAATTTCTTCCTTGTCTCAAACGAATTCTTTTCTAGGTAAGACTCTCATAAACCTGTGATTAAATGTAGTCTAGTTCCTAGTTATGGTGATGTTCAAAAATATCAGTTTGGAACAGGTTGAAAGAGTGAGACAAAACCTGTAGTCCACCAAAAAGTTAGGTTGTCATTGATTCCTTAGAGGCAGTGAATTCAGATGTTAATGAACGTTTTCAAAGGTCACTAAGGCACTACAGAAATTCTCTGAAGGTGAAGACTGAAGACTATTTCTTTTTAAACTGCTTAATTTTTAAATACATATTTTAAAACCTGCCTGTGTGTCTGCACTTTTTGTCTTCAATTGTGCACTATTCCCACTTGAACAGAGGCATAAGCCTGCATGTACAGACACACACCTTGCATTATTTAACATGTCATCTGAAATATTATATGATTTTGAGAGGCAACATATTGATTTGTACTGTTTTTATTTTCTGCTGTGCTACACGAAAACTTGATTATCTACAGCCATCAGTTCCATTACAATAGGGCCTTGAAGAATGATTGGACTTTTAATTTTAGTAGGGTAAGCTACTTCCAAATTGATTCTTGAATTAACAATACAATGTTGCACATGATTAAAAAGAAGAATTAACTGTCTGGAATCATGGAATGCCTTTAATAAGCAGTGGGCTTTTAAACTTTTAGGGACTCTGTTGACATTAGTGAGGTGATACTGCCACTGCACATGGTAGCACCAAATAGAACTGAAATAGAAGGAAAGAGAGGGAAGACAAAATCTGAGCCCTCAGAAACATCAAATTACTTTGCCCTGCCCATTCACAGATTATTTGTGACCCCACTGCAGTCTGTGGGAGTTTTGCCAATTAATTTCAATAGGAGGAGAATCTGGGCTGGATTGAGGTTTTCTGCTTCTGCCCACAGCAACAGATGCATTCCAGACCACTCTCAGGAAGGGAAAACAAAAGTGCAAATTCCCAGTAACTGTGGCAACAGGAGGGACGGTTTCCTTTGCTATCGTGTGATTTTGAATTCAGTAGCTGTTGTGTGGCATGACGTGTTTCTCCCCTCTGTCAAATTAATGCTTTCTTCCCGTGTGGCAGGCGCGTCAGGGAAAGAGCACAGAACAAAAACCATCAACACAAACAGCCCCCAGAAGCCTTTTCACATTTCCCACCTCACATCTGTCACAATGGCAAACCCGTGTTTGCAAACAACGTGGAAAAACTGCCTTAAATGTGGCGCTTCCTCAAAAGTCAGGGAATTAACTCAGCCTGCTCTGGGAATGCCTCTCAATCCCTGTGAGCCACGAGTGGTGATGAGCTCCCCCAGCAAAATGCCAAGACCACATCTGCCATGGAGAGAGGTGCTAAAGAATGCACAGGTTGTCCAGCTCTGGTTGCATTCATCTTCCTTTTTTACCCTTTCCTTCATTGAGGTCCTCTCTGTTGTATCCTTGGACTTGATAACTTCATTAAGGGCTGCAAACACCCAGCGAGGCTTTGGGCAAGGTTTCAGAGCCTCAGGAAAGCAGCAGCACACACAAAATATGAACCAATGATGCCCTAAGGACTGTCACAGGCAGCCAAACCAAGAGGGGAGCAAATGAGTTTCTCTTCCCTTCCACCTTGTGCCCTCTGTTTTACTGACAAGTGGGCAGAACTCTCCACAAAGTTAAAAGACAGCAAAATCTGCCTCTGTAGCTGCCAAGGACAGAGGAAAGGCTGGAAACATATGTTCTCTGTGTTTGGGATGATTCTGTTTAGGTAGACTACCTGGGTCAGAGCCCAGATGGTGTAAACTGCTGAATCTCAGAACTTACATTAGCTGAGTCTCTAGATTGATAAGTATTTTTATTTGAACTCCTGAACTCTTCTGATACTCTTTATTAAAAAGAACTTCCAAGCCCCCAAACAACCTCCAAGGGAAAGCCATAGAAGCAAAAACTGGCATGACTTCTTTAAAGCATCAGTGTGAATCAGTGTCAGAGGTCAGGCAGGAGCACCAGTCCTCTGAGCACCAGCACAGCACCACTGATGCAAAGACCTGAAGTTTATTGGGCTAGCACAGCAGCTTAAGGAGGTCTGAACTGCCCTGTGCATTTCAGTGACCTCTCAGGGCTGATTCCTTAAAAGCCAACATTAATTAGTTACTGAACAAAGTGTGCTTGAAAGGGCAGTAAAAGCCAAGCAGGGAGTTCAGGATGCTGTACTAGAAACAGAAAGTGATGTTTATATAAAGTGCTTTGAAGAGAACTTGAACAAAAGACACTGGAGGTGCATAGGAGGCAACTGAGCCAAACACAAGAAAACAAGGAAGACTTTGGAGTCTTGGTGATGTAATCTTGGACTGGGAGTAGGTGGGATTCAAATGTCTTGGGAACACTCAAGCCAAAGGGATTCAGAGGGAATTTACAACTGTGCCATCTGTCCTTCACTTATTTTGTAGATGGCTTTTGGAAGAGAAATAATCCCATCTTTCTCCTTCAATTAACCTTACTGCTGATTGACTGCTGGCACAAATGCTGTAACATTCAACCCAGGAGATAACACACCAAAAATAAATCTCACCCTAAACAAAATGCCCTGCCCTGTCACTTACTCACAGTACCTTTTCTGGGGTATTATCTTAAGCTGAAACCATTGCTTCTCAATTTTTCTGACTCAGAGGTGAGGGGACTAATTTTGGTAAATCATGGATTACAAATCTCACCTTATCAAATTGACCAGGAAGAACTCAAACAAGCTGGAGATGTGTTACCTTTCAGTTCTTAATATCATCACTCATAAAAGGAGCTTGTTAGCTGAAATATGGACTGACCACACTCAACAGTACATGCAGTGAATCCTCATCTGATTTATTCATGTATGCCACAGAGCAGCAAATTTTGGCCATGATTAATAAATTCACTCCTGAATGGTTGCTGAGGTTAAATTGTGAAAGTAAACTATATGAGCTATGAAAACACCAGCATAAGAATCAAAATAACCTGATTTGTGAAAAGTCTGAGCAAGTCACCACAGTGACTCCTTCAAGTCCAGATACCTAAGTATTGTAGATATAACCTGATATTAATGACCCAATTTTTTTTTTCTAAAAGAACTTCATTGTTTTGGCAGCAATAGTGGTTACCAATATCCTACATGAACATTTATTAAAAATAATAATTCTTCTTGCAGAAGAGAGAAAGGCACGACTTCCCCATGTCCAATCTTCCTGTTACTGGAATGTATGTTTGTGATGGGATCACCCCATAGATTTTGGTTGTTTGGTAAGAGGGGTGATATCTAGGGACATGTTTATGCCTTCTCTTCCAAAATCCCACAAAGAAAATGCACATTTCCATGATGAAAGCCAAGGGTAGAGCCACTGTGCATTGACTGTGTAAAGGTTCCAAGTGTGACATTTCCCAAGTGCCCAGCCAGCAGTGCTAACTGCTCAGTGGTTACACAGCCCCAGGTGGGAAAAGAATGTTGGGAAGCACTGCTTCCTTCAAGCCCCTCCTTCTGCAGGATCTCTAATAGGAGATTGTTGGTGAATTTTCACTTCATACAAACATCTTGTCAACTCCAAAAGAGAAGAGTAAGAAATAACACCCTTAGAAGAAATGTCTGAGAGTTTAACCCAGCCTGGCAAAAGCAAACACAAACCCACTGGTTTCAGTGGAGTTACAGATGGCCACTAAAGGTACACCAGAGCTGATTTGTCCCTCCTCCCATAGTGTAGCACTGCTTTCCCTAAGAAACTTTTGCTTTCAAAGGAACCAACCAAGTGCAAAGAGCCTGCAACACTGAGCTACAATTAAATAAATGAATAGAAGGCACACTTGAACTGTAAAACCTTTCTCAGTAGTGGACTTTACCAGCAAGTATTGACCTTTTGTCCATTTAATATCAGGTTCTAATGCCCTTATCACAGACTAAGCACTGATCTGCAGAATATCAATTATTGTATGTTTATTTCTGCTTCCCATGGTCTCCTACAAGCATTAAATTGGAATCATGTATAAGCATAGTGCATGTCTCAGGAAGAACTTGTTCTTCCTTTGAAGCCACCTCAGCACTACAGCAGATGGGCACAGGCTTTATTGCCAAAAGCACAGAGAGAGACAGAGGAGGAGAGAGAGAAAAAGAAAAAGAAAGTGAGAGAAGAAAGTTGCTTACTGTTTCGAGGCTTCTCCTCATCCATGCCTTCATCTTCATTTTCTGGATCAATATCTTCTGCTTGAGTTATCCAGTCCAGGTATCCCTTCAGATCCTCCTCTAGCTGTTGCTTTTCCCGTAGCTTCTGGAAATCACCTCGAGCCTTTGCCTTTTCTCTTTCTTTGGAAAACTCCCTAGCAAGAGGGAGGGAGGGACAGGACGTGGGTGGAAAGAAGGAAGAGATGGAAGAAAAGCAATGGGTTAGATTGATTTCCACTAGAGAGTCTCCTCAGTGTGTGTAGCACTCCCAGCTGTGTCTGTTCAAGACAAACACATGTATGGAGCATCCTTGCTGCACACACACATGTAGAACAGCTGGAGTGTCCACATTTTATCAACACTTAGGAAAACACTGATACCTTTTTTGAAACTTTCCTTCTCAGCATTTAATTGGCAATTCAAATAAAGCACATATTTAACATTTATGTACAATTTTATGGACAACACCAGACATTTTCTAATGCTCTGTAAACACTTGATATTCTCCAAGATTTATCTACAAGTGTCTGAATGAATAATGGTTAACAATGAACTGTTTGACAATAATCTGACATCTGGAGAGTGAGATGGTGGCTCTAGTTTCTAGCCAGGTTTTGATCTGTTTAAGATTTTATATGTCATCACAACTAAATTGGGTTAGTTTAAGTGTAATTAATGGTACTCACAATCCTCTACATATTTAATTATGGACCATTTCACCCACAGTACTGGAAAATATACTTAAATATTCAGACCTCAAAGTTTTACTGAAGACTTTCAGCATTTGAATCAGTTTTATGACACGAAATATATTTTTCAAGTCTCACATTGGGTAGACAAATATGACAAATTATGGGTAGACAAAACTAATAGATTCTGCCAGAAAATGAACAGAACAAATGAAATGAACAAATAAAACATTTGATTATAGTTTTATGAAAGAATACTGTTAGGAATATTGACTTAAACCAGGGCACAAGAACAAGAATTTCCTGTTGCTTAGTTATGATCCTGGGTTCTTGGCTTTGCCTTCTTTTTGGCTGTGTTGCTCTTTCTTCTCCTCCTGCAGAGACACCTATACAGCAATAATTTTTTCAAGAAATGCTGACCTCCCTTGTTTAGAGGCTCATGTGGTTCTAAACCAGGTTTTAATGCTTGTATTTTAAAAAGTAAGCTCAATGATTGTGAAAATTGCTGGATCAAGAGTACTCAAGCTTTAAGTCTTATATCTGCTGAAGCATATCACTACACAAGACACACACAGATAATGCAGATAATGCAAATAATGCAGATAATGCAGATAATGCAGATAATACAGGCCACTCTTTCTAGAAAAGAGAAGTAAAGCCATTCTTCCCAGTGCATTATCTGTTAGTGTTGCTGAAGACTGTCAGCAATGAATGGATTTAACAAAATGCTTCTCCACTTGGCATTTGTCTCAGGTTTGCTCCTGCAAAAATGATTTTGGTGACATAATGATTTTGGTGACATAATGATTTTGGTGGCATAATACTAGGAAAATTAAAATCCTAGCCAAAATGCCAATTTTGTGAGTGCCATGTGGCTGAGATGGGGGTGGGTTTCTAGCAGTGATGGTGAGATCATTTCCTCCTGTCTGGTCCAAAACCTGCTGAAAGAGTAACAAGGACTTCACAGGTTTTGGGTCAGGTTTTCTGAATTATGAGCTGTGCATGAAACCAGCACTGCAGCAGGATTGAAGAAGGAGGATCCCTTAATTTCTAGCCAAAATATGTGACAGTGTATGCCAGTGTCATCTGCACCCCTGTCATGCTGAGGGCTCAGGTCCTCCCAAATGAGTCTGATAACAGAGGTGGAAGTGAGGAAGAGAACTTCTCTGGCCTGAAGTTAGTTCTCAGTCAGCTCTGGGTCCAAACTCTGCCTCAAGACATGGAAAAAAAATGAAAAATGACATTTTCTTATACTGGGAGTGATTTTTTACTATTTACAATGTAAAAGAAACAAATAACCCCAACAATAATAATAAAAACTACACAAAGATTGTTAGGGAAAAATCCATCAATGGTGATTATATTTTCTGCTTCAGTAACACCTTTCCTCTGGGTCTGCAGCAGTGCCTTATCCAAATTAATGAATTAACTCTCAAAAAAATAAACACTGCCTGAATCTATGTCTTATTAAGCCTGGTTGTTAAATCAAATTCCAATATTTCAATTCTTAGCTCGTAAAATATTATTTTAGAATCTTAAACAAATGGGTCCAGTTTTGAAATGGGCCTAATCTAGAGTTTTGTAGCACAATGCAAAATACTGTGACAGCCTCCTGTAAATTACCTGCAGTTCCATTGTCTCTTCCCTTTGTACCACACCTGATACTCCACGTCTCAGCTGACTCTCCAAAGAAGACAACTGCTTTAAATTGTCTTAATTTCTACGCTCTGCCAACATTAAAACACTGGGAACAGGCAGCTCAGGAAATTGCTGTTGCAATTCAAACAGCCCCCTGTGTGGAATGGCATCCTTGGGCTGATGTAGCTCAGAATCCAGAGTTACTATCACAGGTCATTTCCCATGCCATGGGAAGGGAGCTGGTGGCCTCAGCCCAGGGGGTATTGCAGGCAGGTGCACACATTACTGCTGCCTCCAGCACAGCTGGCAATAAATGCTCACTGTTTGCACCTCCAGCAGGCAGGCCAAGGACCAAAAAAGCTTTTGATGGAAGTGCCATGTTGAGTCTAGGGGTTGTCTTCTCAAAAAAGGCTGCACTGTCATGGCAGTTGCATGGCAAGGTCAATTAAGGCTTGCAGAACTGGCAAGCAATCTGTCTCTTTTCAGTGAACCCAAAACATCAGTGTAAGAGTGGGGGAATCTGATTGTTTTTACCACAATGCAGTTTGTTTCACTTTGGTTTACTTCTCCCAGAAAATTACAGAAATGTCTGCCAATGGGAATTCCAAAGAGCAGAGTATTCTGGAGAGATGTTTTCTCTGTGTGAGGTTAGAGTGGGTCAAGATCATAAACACCCAGCTCTGCATCATGTGCTGTTTCAGATGAAAATTTCTCTTTCCCATCCCAACGATGGGATTTAGGTTATTCTTGTTGATATGATTTCTCACATTTAGAGGCGAGATGGAAAGTGAGCAAACAGCAGAATTCCAACAGTTCAAAACTCTTGCTTACTACTCACAGTGGAGCACAAGGCTCCAAATCTCCTCCACCAAAGAATGGGAAGAGTTGGAAGAGGGGACAGAAGACTAAGAAAAACACCTGAAAGGTCACAAAAACTTCTCAAGGAGGAGCTACAACCATAGCCAGCCTCCTGTTCACTCTGGCCTTTCTGGGCAGTAAAAGCATCAAAAGCAGCCAACTGTGTTTTGCAGGATCCTCTCAAAGCAGAAGAAACTTCTGCTCTCCTGCCCTGCATTTGCCTTAGGCAGCTGCTTGTTTGGCCTGTGTCCTGGGATTTGGATTAAAATATAAAGGAAATGTGACTGTACTCTTAGGTGTACATGTCTGAAGGTTGAACCCACACTGCCTTTTTCCCCCTCGTTAATTAACTGAAACAGATAACAGAATGTGAACATCTCTGATCTCAAGTGACTTCTAATCACTGCTCAGAGCAATGATGTGGAATTGTTTTGCCTGGGCTTGGGGAGGTCTGCTGTGTGATCTGCTGACTGGATATTCCTTTGGAGTACACGAATTTTATATTGTGCTCAGCCAAGTCAGGAAGAGATCACAGCTCCACGTATAAATACTCTGACATGCTATTTAGCCTAGTATGTGATTAGTAAGTTCACCAGGACCATGAATGGATGACATACCTGAGGAAAAACAAATTACAAAAGTGCTCTTTCAGCAGAGCAGAATCCAGCATTTCATTTTGCAGGTGCAATCAAGGTGTCTTTGTGAGTACAATTAATTACACTTATGTATTCAGAAGTGATTAAACCAACCCCCCCCAAGCTAATCTGTCATTTCTGAAGTCTACCTACACAACATGCCTGCTGAAGATCCTGAAATAGATAAATGGGAAAAAAACCAGAGATGCCCAGAATGGATATTCAAAGATAACCAGGAATGCTGCTTTGTATCTAGAACAGACAGGTGGATCATCAACATAGATCAAACTAATAGCAGTAGCAAGTCTCCAGGAAAAACAAGCTGAATCTGCAAAGTGAAGACACTTTGTAACTCAGCAGAATTTAGAACTGCTTTAGAAAGTTAATTGTTTAAGAACTGCTTATTTCGACCAAAGAAAATTTGGAACATTTCTCCCATCATTTCTGTGTTTTTTCATGGGTGCAAATTCTTAAATTTCTTTTTACTTTTCTCCAGTTGGGGACATTTTTGCAGAAACAGTGCAGCTGTCATAACACTGTGGAGACAGCCAGAAAGAGTGACTCACAGCTTAAACAAGGTGCACTTCATCTTGAATTTCAGTTCCCTCTACAGACTGTTTCCATCTCCTACCACTGACTCTGGTGGTCGAGCTGCAATGTGGCAGGAAGTGGAAAATTTAGGCCTCAAAACACTTTCTTGAGTTGAAAATGAAAGAGAGGGAATTAAATTGTTAATTATGCACAGGTACAAATCCAAGTGCAGGTAAATTGAATTAGCAGTGCTTCTATACTATGCACTCCTCATGGCTTGGCTCACAGGCATTTTTTATCCAGTGAGATACCATTTAATCTTTAACAATATTTCTATATTGTCTTGAGAGCACCCCTGACAGAACAGATCCCTTTCCCTGTCAGCTGGTCATCATTCCCCACTAGTGCTGACATCCTTACCTGCTGGGCAGAGTAATCCACCTGGAGGAATGAGGGATGTGTGTTTCAAAATCCTGCCAGAGCATCACTCTCCAGATATACAAAACCACAGACTATCGCCCAACACTTCATTAATGGGGATTTTCTCCACATTTCCATTATTGTGTGGAAACCCTGCTCCTTGCAGCAGCTGTCACAGTGGCTTGTCCCCTTCAATGGAGTCATGAAGATAGAAATAACACCTGCAGACCTTCTATTACCTGTCTCTTTGCCAGATGGCCAAAGGTGGATCTTTTTCCCCAGCCCCACTGCTGCCCTTCCCATCTTGTTGGCCCAAGTACTGAGGACATAATTTCTATGAGGCATCAACTCCTCTCTCCTGCTCAGAGATCATTTTCCCTCTCTTTTGTTCAAAGGAAAAAAAGGGACTTCAGGCATCAGGTACAGGCCCTAAGCAAACTCATTTAGAGCTCATCAAAGGAGGCAGGATGGCAGAAACAAAAAGAGGATGCAGAAAAGTCCTCATACCATATTTATCCGTGTATACAGAATGTCTGTAGCCCCCAGTCATGCCCAAAAATGGAACTAGAGGCCTAATCCTAGATGACTTTTTTTTTTTTTAAATCTTGCAAGGAATGTTTGCTGGCTTGATTCCTTTAATTATGTGGCTCCCCAGGGGCAGTAAAGTTTTTAACTACTGGGGACAATATCAATTGTTCTTAATCAAAGCTGCTAAAATGATGATTTGCAGCGAGGGTTATACTGCAGAACTGAAACACAGCTGAATGTCTGGATGTCTTAAAAATACTTAACCACTAAAAGGGCTTCTCTCCTTCTCTGTTCATCCTTGGAAAAGGTCAGAGGGAAATCATCTTTTCTCCCTGCATCATGCCAGATTTGTAATCTGCACAATAGAGAAGATGGGCTTACTGAAGAAGAAACGTGCCCAAGACTCTCTCCAGGGAAAAGAGTCTCCTGGTAAGCTGTGCTTTAAATGTACTAAACAATGTGAAAATTTCTCCTGTGAGAAGACATAATTTGGCAGGAATCTCACCCTGCAGATGTGAAGGGATTTGTCTCTCCTTCCTCCTTCAGTCCTACTGACTCTTCCAGAAATTTTACTATAATCCCCTCCTATGCACGGATTGCTTTGCCCACAGGAGAGCATAGCACTGTCCTCTTCACCACAGAGTACAGGTAGAGGAACGTGCTACAGACCAAAAAATTGTCTTATATTCCTTTGATTTATTCAAAAGGCTTCTTCTGTGATACTAGGAATGCTGTATTTTGCTATTGGCTCAGCAATAGCCTAGGCCCTCTCTTAAGATTCTTGAGATCAACCCACCACTGACCGTTGTTTTGGTAACCAGAGAGTAGGAATAGAAATACAAATTTTTAAAAATAAACAAGAATAAAACATTTTCCTGGTACTGCTTACCCGCTAAGTACACCGAGAACCAAGTTAAGTACAAAAAATGACCCTATGATGATTAGTGTAACAAAATAGATCCAGGGCCAGTCCCTTCCTATGGCATCATTGACCTGGAAGAGTGGAATGATAATTAGTGAGACAAGCTCAGATTCTGAGCACTGCAAGGCTCCAGCCAAAGAGATCCCAAGTCACCAGCAGTAAGTTTCTTCAATAGCCAGTTTTCTGGAAATTCTTCAATAGCCACTTTTATGACAGGTTGACATAAATAATTTTGAAGGCCCTGAGGTTGAATTTCTCTGTCAGGGGATAACACCGCTTTTGTTACCTGTACTGTTATTTGCAATATTTGAACATTTTGTCAGAGTATTTCACAGCTGATGTGAAGCTTCCTTGGATTCAGATTTTTAATCCCTCTGAAAGTATCCTGGTGACAGGGAAGAACCCTTATTATGGAGTCTTGCCCTGTAGCATTGGAAAAAGGACACCAAAACTGTCAGCTTACCCGCTCAACACACCAAGAACCAGATTTAGAACGAAAAAGGATCCAAAGATGACCAGACTGACAAAATACACCCATGGTAACTCATAGCCCATAGCGTCCTGCATCTGGAAAGACGAAGGAAAGTTAGAAGACAGAGAGGGAAAGCAGAAATGATTAGGCAAAGGAACAGATGGAAAGGTTTGTAAACAGAGCCTGTGGTTGGTTTACACATCATCATACCAAGTGTTTCTGTGTGTTCTTTCGGATGTGACCACTCTTTGATTGTTTTTTTTCATCTATTTCCTCACAGTCAGTGACTAGTACAGCCTAAGATATAACAGTGTGCCCCACTGGCACTTCCTTGGGCGCTCAAAATTGTAGACTTACTTTTTGGAATTTACTTACAACACCACAAAGGGTCCCCCCCATGAATCCTAAACGTGGCTGCTCACACATATGACCCTCTGCTGCCAGGGAGACTTATCTTAGCACCAGAATCTGTATTATATGAGGTCCACTTCTAGCCCATAATAAGATCTTGTATATATTCTAAAAGCATCTAGTACATAAACACTATCTCATTTTGAAGTCTCCTTCAAAGTTCAAAATTTGGGAAGTTGCTGGATACCTTAATAGAATCTCACTTTCATAATGGTATAAAAAATAACAGTCCCTTCTTTACTCTTCATAAACACTTATCTTTTGGATCCAGACGTAGCATCATTAAAGAAACAGATGGTGGTTAACATTTTCAGGAGCACTAAATTGATTTATGAACATAAATTGCAAACTTTAAACTATCTAAAGGCATAAAGCAATCTACATTCCTTTGTTTTCCACTCTTGAAAATGTTGTCTTCTCTTTCCAGGAAAATGCTCTTTCCTTTGCAACCTAAACATTTGTTGCAATCACAGAAGAAATATCCTTCCATACACGGGCAATTAGACACACTTCAGGGGAGGTAATTTCACTCGAGATTCATAACAACTCAGGAAAAGAATTTCAGACCTTCAGTAAGACAAGGCAGGAGAGTAACACTAATATAATCAGTTCATTGTGGATGGAAGTCCATTATCCATTTTTCTTCCAAAGCAGAGTCACTAAAGTTCTTGTCTGGCAATAGTCCACAGTCAATGGAGCAATCCAGAACTCCATCTCAGGGCTCCTTCAGCTGTGACTGAACTGGAGTAGACTCATTAAAAAAATAAGCTTAAAATCTTCCTCTGTGAAAACAGTTCATCAGCTCCTTCCTCACAGAATAAATACATTTGGTGGGCAGAAGAGTACCTGAGCTGTTAACATTCCCTATGCATAATAAACTTCTTCCCTCTATATAGTTTTGCAGAATTTTTCACTTAGTTTATAAATCATACTAATTGCTCTTTATGCTTGCAAGCCACATTTCATCCCATGTGATCAAAAAGTAGCACCCCTGGTGTCTACTGCACATCAGGGCTTTAATGAGAACAAAGCATCATCAAATATAAAGATGGAAGCAAAAATTCACCTGAGACCCCAGCTGGGAAACCAGGAAGGCAGAATGTAAATGCCCAGGTTGGATTTCAGTAAAGAAATGAGATTTAACACCCCCTCTCTCATACAAAGAACACCAATATCTATATAAAGCAATCTGCACAAACAATGAGTATGGATGAGTTTGAGAAACTACCGTAAGAATTTACCACTGTGGGCACAATGATGAATCAAGGTGAATCCCTCTGATTTTGATAGATGGTGATAAAAAAGCCTTGGCTACATGGTATTTATCTCTCATCAGTTTGGGATATTTTTTGTCAGCTGGGAAAAAAGAACTTCTCAAAGCTGTGATACAAGACAATCCTAAAGATCAAAGATCAGGGTGCCAGGTACAGAGGTCAAGGGCAGGAGAGGGACAAAACTTCCCCAGCATGAAGAAACTTCCAGAAGCCAAGAAGCTTCCAGCATGTCCTGGTAAAGCCTATAACTAGAATATAGTGTACCCTGTTATTCCCAATGCCTGCACAAATGCATAACAATTGTTACCAGCTAGCATCAGCACAAATTAGTCCTGTAAAACAAACCTGCATTCTGGTACAGCAGAGCATTTGGGACTTCTCAGACTGAAAATTTCAGAGGTCAGCTTTTCATCTCCTTTTTATTGCACAGTTATATAGGTAACAGAGCTGAGGGGCAGAGACAGCAAGAACTTCTCAAGCAGAAAGAAACTGTCAGTATTTGGCAGATGGCCGAGTCTGTCTCTGTTGCTGGACTTTCCCTACATTTGGTGCTCTCGTGTCATTTTTCTTTAGTAGCAAGTGAGATTATTCCATTATTATGAGGTGAGATTATTCCTGTGGGCCTGACCCAGAGATGACAGGAATGTATGTTAGATTGTCATATAATGTTAAGTGTTTGTAAAATTATGGTAAAACCTCCCTGCAATAAGGAAACAGCACACTGTGAGCTTACTGCTTGCTCCTGAAAAACAGCTGCAGGAGAAATGCAGAGAAATTGGTTGTTTGGTGAAAGCTGGGGGAAAAAGAATAGGAATAGACCTACTCAAAACAGTAACAGCAAGGCCAGGAGTGTTGACATTTGCACCCTCCTGAGTGCAGAAAATGAAGTCTGCAAAATATATTTTGTGCTGTTGTTCCCCAGTGAACTGGAACTGGCTCAGTTACAGGTTACCTGACAAGGATGGACAACTCCTGGTACACAGCTCAGTTTTCTGGTGCCTGAATGCAGCACTTCTCCCTGAGTGCTTACTACTAACCCTGGGAATCCCAACAGAAAAGGTTGATCATCTTCTAAATTCACACTTCTCAACAAAGATTTTCATATCAACCAGAGTAGGTCCAAATTGCAACTTTCAGTCCAGGTGATTGCAACCTGATGCCAACTTAAGCATGTATGGAACAATTGTTACATCAGCTGGAAGCACAGGGTCAGTGGGAATCTGCAGATTGTCATTTATGGAAATAATTCTGCTTTCTGAGTCAAACTGCCCGACCTTTCACAGCTCACATCTCAACACTTACATGTCACTATTCTCAACAGCCAGGAAGCTGGCACATTTCACAGCACTCATGCATCATCTCTCAGAGATTTTGAAGATAAGGATTCCTTCTCATTATTATTTCCTGCATACCCTCTCTGGCACTGTGGGGACATCATTGGGCTCATTATGCTCCAGCTTTCCAATCTGCAAAGTGGGAGACTACCTTGCCTCACTGGGTGCTGTCGAAGAAGCCACTCAGTTTCATGACAAAAAGAGGTCATTTCAGCACATATGAGGTCTGCTGGAAGAGCTCTATCTTTGCCAAGCATCCTTAATTGCTATCATGCCTACAGCATTTCAGCACAGGCTTTTCTCTCAATGGCACAGGTAATCACCCAGAAATAACAGCAGCGTTTTTAGCTCTGTATTCTGCTGATCTCAATTACTATCAGCAGTTTCAGTAGGGGCCAAGGAATAAAAGTCTTTCTTAATAGACCTTTGTGCTTTTGTCTTCTGATACTTCAGAAGGCACAGGTGAAGTCACATTGGCAAGGCCACAGGAGCCATTCATGCATTAGCTGTTTAGTAATTTTTTTTCCTTTCCCAGGGATAATAGCCTGGCACATTTGGAAGTGCCTCATTCCTTACACAGGCAGCACAGTTCAAAGCCAATGTTAGAGGCACACAACCTATTACCATCGTGGTTGAGCATCACCAAGCACAGACTTTCAGTCACTTAATGGGAGGGGTAGGCACAATTGAAATTCTGCTGACTTTACCAGTCACACCCTGACACTGTGGTCAATGTCTTTCAAAAACATCAGAGGGTCACAGGAAGAGTTTAATCCATCAGGAAAGGGCAGCTGCCACTGGAAAGTAGCAAGCTGAAGAAAAAAATGAAATCGCCCTTGTGCTTGGTGCACAGTGCTGGAGAGCTGCAGCTTAATGGAAAGTAAGCTAGGGCACCTGGGCTGGGCTTCTGTTCCTTGAATTAATTGTTAATTGATTTCTAATGACTATAGAATGCTATGATAACTTTTTTTTTTAAATGCTAGTGCTAAAAGTATTCTATAATGAAGTGTAATATTCTGTAAGTGTATGACCTTCCACAGATTAATATTCATTGAGAGGAGCAGCATATTTAATAAAATTAAAGGGCAACAAATTTGGAAATTTTGCATAGAAATGCTATTTTCTGTAACCTACCTGTGGAATTTACTGTCTCAGAAAACAACCTAGCCTAAACTAATGGCTATGGCCAGTAGCAAGATCTCTAGCTGAAACCAAGTCTTTCTTGTGACAATCTAAAATTGGAGAATATTGGGAGCAGGAAACAGCAGAAATAGGAGATAACACTTAACTGTCATTAAAAATATCCTCCAGCTTGAAGCCTTTATTTTGAAAACCATCTCTTTCAGGAACAGGACTTAAGCACCTTCCTAACTTTTGGGATGTGCAGAAGTCATTTCCTCAGCTCAGATCAAAGATCTCATGGCAGGCAGAGCTCAGGGGATACAAAAAGGGCCATGCAGGTACTGATGAGAGATTGGGATATTTATCATTGATCAATAAGGTTTTGCTTCAATTTCTTTAATTTTCTTAATTTTCTCTTTCCACCACCTCTTTCTTTCTCTTCCCATAAATATTTGGGTGAATGCATTTCATTCACATGTAACCTCATGGAACTAAAACTTTAAACTCTGCTCTTCTTTTATCTTTAATAATAGGATGCTGCACTGTTTTGCACTGTGAGGGAAAAATGTTCTCTGCTATAGTTTTCAGTCAGAATGTGGCTACAACTCCAATTATAATAAACAAAGGATGGAGCTTTACTCTTCACAGTTAGAGTAGAGCTGACAATATTAAAGAAAAAAATATCCATATCATAGACAGGAGGTAGACACTACCTCTCAGGTAAGGGTTATGTGACCTAGGAAGTGGAATACTCCTCTCTTGCACTATTTTCTTTGGCTTCCATTATATCTTCACACTGCCTTCATGATCATTTGTTTGTTTCTGAAACTTCACTACACTTAACTTTGCACTCATACAATCAAGGAACAAAAAAGATGTCATAAATCCATAAATCCTTCAGAAATAATTAAGGTAGGGTGAATTTCCTACTAAGTAAGTGTCTGTATACATCTG